CACCACTTCTGGCTTTTTCTGCTTATGTGGTGCTGAGGAATGGAACCCAGGGCCTCATGCATGCAAGGCAAGCGCTCTACCACTGAGCCACCTTCCCAGTCCCCCCTTACCTTTTTTTCTAAGGCCAGTGCTCTACCATTTGACTCACACCTTGAGTCAATTAGCTTTTTGGAGGCTAATTGGAGATAACTGTACACCCAGACTGGCTTCTTTTCCCCTCTTCTTTATTTTCCATTTTATTCTCACTCCACCTTTCCCTCCAGGAGGATGTGCTGTATAGTCGGCATGAGACTACCCACTGCTCCTTACTCAACATATCACCCGTCAGCTTCAGAAGTTTCTTCTTTTTCCAGGTTCTCTTTGGGTCGTTGGTTGGCCTCGTCACCACTGGGGGTTTGTAAATGGGGTTGTTCTTATCTCTCGAGCCAGACAACGATGAAGAACATTTTGCTGTCAGAATTTCAAATACAGGCCAATGAGTGTTAGGTTAAGCGGTTGTCCAGTATTTGTTGAGCATCTATTTGAGCCTTTCCTGCTGCTTGTGAAGGATGCTGAACAAAGCTATGAGCAGTACTTCTCAACTACCTATGGTAAAGGACCCATTTTTAGAGTTTTGGATTCTGATTTATTGGAGTCCAAGACCTTTATAAAATAAAAATTATTAGAAAATGAAGTTTAGCAGAAGTATATAAAATACAAACCCTGGGGCTGGGAGCTGTGGCTCTGTGGTAGAACACTTGCCTAGGTTTGCCCTGGTTTGATTGCCACTGCTATCACCAAAAGACTAGCCACTTTTTTTTGTTGTTGTTGGTTGTGGGACCTGAACTCTGGGCCTGAGCGCTGTCCCTGAGCTCTTCTGCTTAAGGCAAGCATTCTACCATTTGAGCCACAGCACCACTTTGGTTTTCTGGTGGTTAATTGGAGGCAAGAGTTTCATGAACTTTTCTGCTTGGGCTGGCTTTGAACCACGATCCTCAGATCTCAGCCTCCTGAGTAGTTAGGGTTACAGGCGTGAGCCACTAGTGCCTGGCTAACAAGCCACTTTTGAGACAGTGTCTTGCTATGTAGTTCAGGCTGGCATTGAACTGGCAATCCTCCTACCTCAGTCTCCCAAGTACTGGGATTGAAGGCATGGAACACTATGACTGGCTAAGGATTTTCCCCTCCTTATTTTAGTGCTGAGCATTGAACCCAGGGCCTTATGCATGCCCATCAAGCAAGGTCACTGAGTTACATCCACAGCCCTTGTTTTGAAGATCAGATATAATAGGCATAGAAATAAGTACTCTGCTGAGTTCCTATGAAAGTTTCTTTTTTTGTGGGGGGGGGGTCAGGTCGTGGGGCCTGAACTCTAGGCCTGGGCGCTGTCCCTCAGCTCTTCAGCTCAAGGCGAGCGCTCTACCACTTGAGCCACAGCGTCACTTCCGGCTTTTTTCTTCTTGCTTATGTGGTGCTGAGGAATGGAATCCAGGGCCTCATGCATGCAAGGCAAGCGCTCTACCACTGAGCCACCTTCCCAGCCCCCTATGAAAGTTTCTAAGTGCTTCCTTTCAACTTCTCCCCTTGTCCTACACTGGAGAGCAGTGGTTGTCATCAGCAGTCCACACTAGAGAACACTATTGTCAGTATTAATATCAGATCCTGGGATGAGACTCAACATCTGCTTTTCGGAAAGTTCCAGAACACTACAGTGCTGCTAGACTGCAGACTACTCTGAGTAGAAGAATCTAGAGACATCTAAGTCAAGAGGAAGAGACGAAAGGAAGATGGGAGAGAGAAAATAGAGTTAAGACATTAACCTTGCCAGTGTATACGAGTCAATGGATACAAGATCACAAAAAATAAGCAAATATCTCTAAAAAGTCAGAGGTTTGGTTTCATTGATCCTGGGCTAAGGATTGAATCCAGCGAGTACTCTATTATGAAGCTACACTCCAGCCTGACAGTTGTATTGAAGGATGAGTCCCAACTCTGATGGAAAAAGGCAAGAATAAGAAAAAAAAATTCCCCGTATGCAGAAAACAATTCATAATGCATGGAGAAATGAACTAAGGGCAAGAAAGAAGCCTAGAGCTGGCTGGTGGCTCACACTTGTAATCCTAGCTCTTCAGGAGGCTGAGATCGGAAGATCATGGTATAAGCCAGGATCAGCAAGAAAGTCCAGAGACTCTTTTCCCCAGTTATCTTCCAAAAAACAGAAGTCGAGCTGTGGCTCAAGTGGAGCCTGAGTGGAAAAAGCTAAGGGTCAGTGCCCAGGCTCTAACTTCAAGCCCCCAGTATCTACATACACACATATGGACACACACGTGCACAAGCGCAGAGTTTCAGGTGAGATTGCTCATTTTCTCTCAGCAGTACAGCCCCTGGTCAGCCTGAGCAACGAGTGCTCACAGCTTCCCATCCACCGCAGACTCTGCCGCGGTGCCAGCCCTTCTTTCTCCTTCTAGTTAAGCCATGATATGACATCAACACTGCACTCATTTTTTTGCAACTGAATTTCTGGCCCCCCATTTTGCGCGTGGCTGTCCTCTGGGTGGTGTGGATGGTCTATGGCCAGTGTTGTAGAGGATGCCTCTCTCAGGCTTGGTGAGAGGATGTGGGAAGGAAAGAGGGGTTTGGGGTTTCTCTGACACCTTTAGAGAGTGGCGACACACTTGACTTAAGGGAGACAATAGAGAAGTGGATTCGTGGGGCAGACAGTTCAGTGTGACACCTGGGCACTGGAATACGGATGGTGACGGCTGAGCAATAGCATCGGGGCTCAGAGGGAGAAAGACGGGGCAGGAGGGCTGGCCCACAGAGCGCACCCAAGCTGGAGGCTAAGCGGCCACAGCCAACGAGACACAAGGTCTCTGAATGGGGGAACTGGCTGGATTCCACTGTTGCAAGTTTCTCTTTAGCAACTGAGATGGTAGCTAGGATTAGGTGACTTACCCCAAAGTGCCAAGATCCTGTTGGTCTGTTGCTCCTTTTCTTTGTTAAGCCATGGCATCCTGCTCGCCAGCAGTGAGAGTAAGAATGTGAAGACGATCACCTAGACAGGAAGGTCACAGGAGAACACCACGTGTTCCAAGGCCTTAGAACGTGATGCGGGCTAACACCACCTTTCAGTCCTGTGTTCCTTTACTTTCATGAAACACAGAATTAGCCAATCATAAACACTGTTTTATACATATGGGGATCTGAAAGGGCACTTAAGAATCTGTTAATAGTCATATTTCTAGTCTGAGGTTCTTAAGCTGGTTGGGTAGGAAAGCTTAAACTATTAAGTGATTTGTGTGGCTTGTGTAAGTTGTACAGTAACATGTCAGTCTCTTTGGAAGATCTTCAGTAGAGAATTAAGCTGGGAAAGCTGGAAGTTTAGACACACCAAGGATAGTTCCTGACCCCTGCAAAAAAAAATGTCATGAAGGGCTGGGAAGGTGGCTCAGTGGTAGAGCGCTTGCCTTGCATGCATGAGGCCCTGGGTTTAATTCCTCAGCACCACATAAGCAAAAAGAAAAGAGCCGGAAGTGGCGCTGTGGCTCAAGTGGTAGAGCGCTAGCCTTGAGCTGAAGAGCTGAGGGACAGCGCCCAGGCCCAGAGTTCAGACCCCACGACTGGACCCCCCCAAAAAAATGTCATGGAATCTTAAGAGTTAAATATGTATTAGGGAAACAAATGACCCTGCTCCAAATTGCAGAACTTCAGAGACTAGTGGGGTGATATTATTTCTTCTTTTCCCTGGGTGCTCTCTCACTTGAGCCACAGCTCTGCTTCCAACATTGTGCTGGTTAATTGGAGATTAGAGTTACATGGACTTTTCTGTCCAAGCTGGGTTCAAATTGCAATCCTCTGATCTTAGCCTCTTGAGTAGCTAGGATTACAGGCATGAGCCATTAGTGCCCAGCTTGTTCTTAAGCATTTTCTCTTCAGTCCATTCTGTCATGCATCTGTTAGTCTATCAGTTTTCGTTAGCTTACATATCCCTACCAAAGGTCACTGCATATTGATTCACTCACTGTTGTCACATCCATTAGATGCCTTAGAGATTGATAACCATGGAGCTCAGTTTCCCAAGCTGCCTGCAGCTAGAATGGCCCTTCCCCTCCTTTTGTACCTTTACTGGCTGGCTGATGAAGGTATCTTGGAGTGCCGACAGCATCATTGAAACAGCCCAGCTGGTGGCTTGGTCTTTGCTCAAGTCCAAGCTATAAAGGGCTGTAAAAAAAGCCGAAGCCAAGCTAGTGACACCTAGAAGGAGCCAGCAGATGGATGTCAATAACGCCGGTGGAAAAACGCAGCGGGGCCTCTTCCCTGCTTCTGGGCTCAGCATAGGGAAACTTGTTGTCTCCCTGAAGAAGAAAAGTTGAAGGAATATTGTCACATTCAAACACAGAGAGATGGTTTCGAGTTGCTGGGACAGCCTGGCGCGGGGCATTACCTGGCCGCCCCTTTCTCCATGGGTAGGACTCGGGTCTCCAGGAGTTCTTGGAGTTTTTGAAGCTGGCTGGCCGCTTCCCGGAGGTCGCAGGGCTGATGGCCCTGGGTGGTGGCCAGTGTGTCCAGGTGGGCTTCCAGCCTCCGCAGCACTCTGTGCAGGTACCAGTGGAAATGGTACTGGGTTTCCGACGCCACTGAAAATAGATTTCAGGTTGACACATTCACAAGTAGAAGGTTTCAGCAAATCGCATTCGTTCAGGGGAGATCAAGTCCAGAATAAAGATGCTAGTGAATTTTTACAATTGTAAAGTGATTTTATTTTATATTTTGTGCCTGTACAGAACCTCACATTCTCACTTTGCTTTTTCTGCTCGTGGCTGGTGCTCTACCGCTTGAGCCACATCTCCATGTCTAGCTTTTTGAAGGTTAGAGATAAGACTTTCCTCCCTCTGGCTGGCTTTGAACAATGATCCTCAGATGTCAGCTTCCTGAGTAGCTAGGATTACAGGTGTGAGCCACCAGCCCCTGGCTCAGTTTTCAAGTTCTTAACTTTTGGTGTCAAGACTTGAAATCTCACTGAGCCTCTTCGGCAGAGCTCCAGCATACCCAGTCTGAGGGCTCAAGATGCCTTGGTTATACTCAGAAATCCACAAATCATGTTCCTTTACCATGCTGGAGGAGAAAGTGTGGCATTTCAAGTCTTTAACAAAACACATGGGACGTGAGGATCTGACACAAAGAATGTTTTCCTTTAATGCTGTCCTCTGTCTCACTCGATATGGTCTAGCAGCCATCGAGAGGGCTCAAAGCTACCCACTCCACATTGAAAGCTTAAGGGGATGAAAATGAGCAAAGTTGCATTGCAATTCTTGCTTATGCTGGTAGGTAAAGTGAGGAAGAGCATACGGCATGCCCGGGAGGGGAGGCAAATGGAAGTCTGGTTGCTAAAATCTACTGGATTTTACCACTTGGCCCCTGGGGTTCTGAATGCCGGCAATAGCCCTGCTCCTCTAAATGAGAATGGATGATCCTGGATAAAAGCATCACCAGCTGGCTCATGTCATGAGGCGTCTGTACTGGTGGCTCACAGTCGGCAAGCAGGCGCGTGTCTCTTCTGAGCAGAAATCCCACCGTTTCCTTTAATTCCTAGCAAGGACCCGAGATGAGAAAAGTCAGTGTGTCTTATTTAGCCCAGGATGAGGGGCAGTTGCCCAGGGGGCAACTTTTCTCTTGCCAGGGGGCACGCTTTATGGAAGGAACCTCAGGGTCTCATTTTTCAGAAAGCGGTCACGTCTCGGTGGCTTCACACCTGTTTCTAGACGATGAAAAGGAATCATTTGCTCCCACATCAAACACTCTAATAGCTTCAAAGAAGCATGTGCTGCTCCACATCTAGCGATCACTAGAGCACCGTGTGTGAGCAGCTGCAGAACAGGGAGGAATTAGTGGAAAGATCTCCCAGAAGCCCTTTCCATGGCTTCTTTCCGCTACATGGGGAAAGGAGCATAGGTTACCTGTAAAACCTGAAGCTTAGCTTACCTCCACCACCTCTGCGGAGGAGCTGGGCTCCCAGGCGGCACCTGGGGGGCAGGCGGCAGGGAGGGGAGGAAGCAGGGGCAGGGCTTCTCGTGGTTGAATCCACAGGAAAAGTTGTCTAATGACCAGATGGGCGGGGAGAAGGATGACAGCAGTTTGGATGCTGATGAGCACCTCCAACCAGGTCACAGCAAATGGCCCCACTGAAAGAAACCATCCTGTCAGTCACCTTATCGTCACCACTGTGACCACCACCACCATCACCATATTACCATCATCACCACCACTACTACCATTATCACCCTATCACCCAACCATTGTGATCCCCACAAAGCTCTCTTTTGTCTCAGGTTTTAACTTTTAAGAATTTATCTAGGGGGGCTGGGAATGTGGCTTAGTGGTAGAGTGTTTTCCTAGCATGCATGAAGCCCTGGGTTTGATTCTTCAGTACCACATACACAGAAAAAGCTGACGTGGTGCTGAGCCTTAAGTGGGCAAATGCTAGCCTTGAACAAAAGAAGCTCAGGGACAGCACCCAGGCCTTGAGTTCAAGCCCCATGACCGACAAAAAGAAGAAAAAAAGAATTTAGGGTTAGAAAATGCTCATGGTAGTAAAGCTCCTAATGTGTTCCTCAGACTACGCCAGGTTTTGTTTTTGGATCAGTCATGGGCTTGAACTCTGAGCCTGGGCGCGGTCCCTGAGCTCTTCAGCTTGTCTGAGTGTTCTACCACTTGAGCCACAGCACCACTTCTGGTTTTCTGGTGATGGTGGTGGTGAAAGTCTCATGGACTTTCCTGCCTGGCCTGCTCTGAACCACAATCCTCAGATCTCAGCCTCCTGAGTGGCCAGGATTACAGGCGTGAGCTACCAGCACCCAGCTAACTGCGTTGGTTTTGAATGAATGAGGACAGCGAGAGATTTGTTGAGGTAGAATCAGGTCAGAAGAGTGGGGAGAATGCAGATGCATACCATGATTGATTGATTGTTTTCCTCTTTCATCCATCCATGCATCCTTTTTTTTTTTTTTTGAGACAGACAGCATATCCCTCCATGGCCTAGGCTGGCCTGGCACTCACTATGTGGCCCAGGCTGACTTTGTACACTCTTGATCATCCTGCCTGAGCCTCCCCAGGGCCAAGATTACAGACAGCTGCCACCACACTCAGCCTACAGTCCTAGTTCTACAGTCCTAGTTCTACCTTGAAATGAAGGAGGGGGGCTATAGTGGAAATGTTACAGACTACAGACAACACCCCACCAGACACAGCCGTACTTGGCTCGACCCTCTTGGCTGTGGGGCCTTCCATCCTCCAGAACATGACGTTAATCACCATGTCGCAGAGGAGCAGCGTCGTGCAGCAGGTGAGCCGCTGGAGTCTTGTAAATTGGTTCCAGGGATGTCGGGTTGCGATGGAGAGCCACAGATGGTCCTGGGTGAACCGTTCCACAATCGTGGAGGAGAATAAGTGTCTAAAAGGAGAAATTAAAACAAGGGGGACATGGTGTATTATTCTGAAAACACACGAGACCAAGAGACGTTTGTTCAGTAACAAACCATGTCTACTCTTCCATCTCTGTTCAACACCTCTGTGGAGAAGCTGTTAGATAATACATTTTTTTCCCTTTGGTAGTACTGGGCCTGAACTCGGAGCTCTGTGCTTGCTAGGCAAGCACTTAACTACCCGAGCCATGCTTCTGGTCCTATTAGTTACTTAGTTCTTTTAGAATTTTAGGATTGAAAACAGGCATAATTTATATTGTAGAGAGATTAAAATTAAAAACTTGTTTTAACTTTTTGAAGTTCTGACATATCTTTTACTCTTCAAAACAGGTAAATTCATACTTGGATCGCCTTCCCTATTCTACGTATGGGGGACTATAAATAAAACATATAAATATATGTAACTATAATATATGAAAAGAAACAGAAAGACATGAATGGGCTATGTTCTGGGGAGGGCATGCACACATCGGGCATCATGGAAGACGTACAGGACAGCAGAGAAGCAGGGAGAAAATGCCACAGAGAAAAGTGGCAGGCAGATTTTGCATAATTGAAGAAACAATAGAAAACTTCTACAATAGACAAAAACTAAAGGAATTGATGACCACCAACCGGTGCTACAGAAAATGCTTGGGTGTAGTAGCACACACCTGTAATCCCAGCTATCCAGAGATGGAAATAAGGAAAATCATAATTCAAGGCCAACCTGGACAAAAAGTGAGATTCCCATATCAAAAACACCAGCAAAAAACTGAGATGTGTGCCTGTAATCATGTCTCTGAGGGACCTGTAAGTTAAAGGATCATGATCTAGACTGGTTTAGGCAAAACTACAAGATCCAAACTGAAAAAACAACTAAAGTGAAAAGGCTAGAGGTATGGCTCAAGTTGTATAGCAAGTGTACAAAGACCTGAGTCCAAACTGCAATACTGAAAAAGTTGATTCTTATAGAAGATGGATGCAACCATGAAAATATGGAAAAGAATATATTTCACTGAATGAGTAGATAAGCAAATGAGAAGGATCAGACTCTAGAAAACCATTAAAATGGCTGGAATTACTACACACTGTCACTATATCTCTGAAGGTTAAGAGTGTAAATGATCTAATCAAAGGTCTCAGATTAGATTATAAATGAAGGCCTGATTATCTGGGTCTGCAGTCTGCAGTGTGATGCTAGGAGGTGCTGTGTAGTTCAGCCCCCCTTCTGCTGTAACTGAGAGCCACAGGGAGGATTGGAGACACCACTGACGCCTAACATGGCTGCTGAGACCTCTAGCACAGGGCCTGGGGCTCACATGGCACCCAGGGCTCACCTGTGCCACAACTGCTGGCCATACAGAAAAGGTCTGGCCCAAGGCACACCATAGTTAAAACATTACATATGAGGAAAAAGGAAGAACCTTGAAAGCTGCAAGAGAAGTGTCATGTCACCCGCGATGGTAAGTCCATCAGAATAAACAGATGTCTCACCGGAACTTTACAAGCAAAAAGGAATGGAATAATGTATTTGAAGAGCTGGAAGTAAACAGCTGACTATATAGATTTATCTACCCAGCAAAACTATCATCCATAACAGAGGGATAAAAACTATGCATGACAAAAATGAAACCAGCGCTACAGCGATACTCAAAGGAATCCCACACACTGAAGAGGAAGATCGATGGAACCAGGAAAATACTGGGGAAAATGAATCCCACCGAATGAGCACATCAGAACTCTTCTATCCTGCCAATCTTGACCTCTCACATAACTAGGATTGAGCAGGGGTCTTGTGAACTTTTCTGCCAGGGTTGGCTTTTCAAGTTGCTGGGATTACAGACATGAGGCACTGGTGCCCTAGTTGTTAGTTTTGCTTTATGGAAACCCAACTACAAGAGGAGAAAACAAACAATTGAGGAGAGATTACATTTAGTTTTTAAAGAAAAGTCAGGTTCTGAAAGACTTGATTTTCCTCCCTTTTCTCTTTTTTGCCTTTAGGCAATTTTATGTAAGCATATTTGTAGTTACTCATGTTGTTTCCCAGGAGAGAAAAGCAAAGAACTCAGTATCATTGAACCAAAAGACTGATCAAAAGAAAAGATACTAGGTAGCTAGGTATGTTTTCCTAAACACATCAGTATTCACTATGAAGAGTGCTTCTTGGGGCTGGAGGTGCAGCTCAGTAGATGCTGCAAGGCCCTGAGGTCAAACCCCCTACTACTGCCAGGGAGAAAAAGAAAAAGACAGGCACTGATGGCTCAAGCCTATAACCCTAGATGTGGAGGCCTGAAGTTTAAAGTCATCCACATGGAAAACCATCAGCAAAAAGCTGAGCTGGAGGTGTAGCTCAAGTGGCAGACTTCCAGCTGAGCAAGCAAGCTGAGCCAGCAGGAGGTCTCTGTTCAAATCCCAGCCCTGGGGGGAGAAGTGTGATTTTCAACATTACCTAAAGGAAAGGAGCTCTGTCCTTGAGGCTGGTGTGAAAACCCGGTCGCACTGGAAGTCTCCCAGGTCCTTGGCCAACCAGCAATCGCACAAGAAGTGCCATTTCTTCTTAGTAGCCATGTCACTGACGATCACCTGGCTGATGTACCTATGGTGAAGATGATCACATCAGGAACGCAGGCAAGAACTGCTTGCTGTGTAGTAAAAAGTAATCTAGGGTGTGGGATGTAGTAGTATACACCTGTATACTCCTACTTGGAAGGCAGAGCTAGTGTTCTAGGCAAAACAAAACAAAACAAAAAAACCAAAAGTTAATGCGATCCTATTTAAAAACAAAACCACAGGTATGGTAGAGTATACCTCTAGTCCCACCCATGTGGAAGGCAGTTGGAGGAGGATCATAGATCATAGTCCAAGGCTAGCCTGGACAAGTGCAGGAGTCTAGCAAAACCTCAAATCTCAGTGCTGCCAAAATTAACAACAATGCGCTTCCAGTGAGTGTCCAGGTAAGTGGATTGTTCCTTGCTGAGAAGGAAGGGCAGGAGGGCAACCAAGCTTCTCCTGCCCTGGGCGGGAGTGGGGGGGGGGAAGGGGAGGAGATGTGCCAGGATCTTTAAGCTTCCTCCGTCCTGGACGCGGGCCGGCGCGGGCTGGCACTGACCAGGAACACCGCCTTGGGGAGCCGTGGAGCCACAGGCGAAGGGCGTGCAGCTCCCCCAGGGGGGCCCGGGTCCCCAGCAGGAAGACGTCCAGCGCCCCTCGGCCGAAGGCTGTCGTCTGGGGGTCCCAGAGGTGACGGGGCCGGCTGTGTCCCTCCGATCCATACAGGGTGGCGACCACCTCCGCGGGGAGAGCAGATGGGCGTGGGTGGGCGTGGCCCGAGGGGAGCCCCCCAGCACAGGGTTCGGTGGGCGTGGCCCGAGGGGAGCCCCCCAGCACAGGGTTCGGTGGGCGTGGCCCGAGGGGAGGCCCCCCCCCCAGCATGACCGCTGGGCCGCCCGCTGCCCGCGGGGACGGGCCGCGATGGCGGCGAAGGGCGCCTACCTGGGCCGTGCAGGCCGCCCTCGGGCGGAGCCCCGTGCGGACCTCCACCAGGTAGTGGAAGCGGGAGCCGGGCTCGTTGTCGGCCAGGACGGTGACCTTCACCTGCGGGCGGACACGCCGGTGGCCTGGGCGGGCCTCGCGCTGCCAGCGGAGCCGCCAGCACCCCGACCCAGGGAGCGGGGGGGGGGGGCGGCCCGGAACCTGGGGCGGGAGACCCTCCGGCCTCCCTCAACTCCGGGGTCCCCGCGACAGCGGCAGCCCGGGGCCTGCTCAAGACCCCCAGGCGCAGCCCCGACCCCCCAGGACAGCCAGGCGCCGCGCGCGGGCTTCCTGTTGGGCTGGAATTTCTGAGCCCCGGAGCCTCGCTGGGAGCCGGAGCTCAGGGAGACCCCGCTCCAGAGCTCAGGGAGACCCCGCCGGAGCTCAGGGAGGCCCCGCCGGAGCTCAGGGAGACCCCACCGAACCCGCGGGGGCCCCGGGGCTCATCTCCAGCGCTGTTAGACCCTTCTGTCTTCGGATAGACGAAAGGCTGGGGTGGGGACGGTGTCCGGCACCCAGTCTGAGTCCACGTCTCGGACCATAAAAAATGAAAAAAAAGGGGGAAAGAAAAGAGAGTAGACATGAAAGAGAAGTCCAAGAACATCCCGTGGGAGTTTCGTGTTTTTGCATATGCTGATTCAGCATACGACACATTTTTCAAGTCTGGAAAAATATGAATTAGTGAGAGATCAGCTAAGCCATCTGAAGAGTACCATTCACAAAGTACAATTCATATCTCACACTTGCTATCAACATAAGTTCTGCATGAACTTCAAAGATTTTAACAGAGGAAAAGAGAACATAAAAGACTTAGAGCAAAAGGTTGAAGATCTTTCTTTTAAAGTATCTGAGTAGCATTTTTTTTTGTCAGTCATGGGACTTGAACTCTGGGCCTGGGCGCTGTCCCTCAGCTCTTCAGCTCAAGGCTAACTAGCTCTCTACCACTTGAGCCACAGCGCAACTTCCGATTTTCTAGTGGTTTATTGGAGATAAGAGTCTCACCGACTTTCCTGCCTGGGCTGGCTTTGAACCATGACCCTCAGATCTCAGCCTCCAAAGTAGCTAGGATTACAGGTGTGAGCAACCGGCGCCCAGCTCTGAGTAGAATTTTTTAGCGGTTTCTACAATGAAGAAGCCAGGACTGGGAAGGTAGCTTAGTGGTAGAGTGCTTGCCTCACATGCATGAGGCCCTGGGTTGGACACCTCAACACCACATAAACAGAAAAAGCTAGAAGTGGCACTGTGGCTTAAGTGGTAGAGTGCTAGCCTTGAGCTGAAGAGCTCAGGGACAGCGCCCAGGCCCAGAGTTCAAGCCCCACAACCAACCAAAAAGATTCTAAAAATCAGAAAACAACCAAAAAATAAAATGAAGAAGCCATAAAATAAAAAATCAGCTAATCTTGAACTAGAAAAAAGGCCATTTAGAGAGAGTGAGGGAAAGGGTGACATTGTCCAAAAAGAAATGTACTTTTTACCCGACTTATGTAACTGTAAGTTCTCTGTACATTGCCTTTATAACAAAAAAATTTTAACCCACTTTAAATAAAAAGAAAAATGATAAAGTATGAATAGTCACTTAAAATGTCACAAATAAATGACTAGACTTTTCAATAAACACACAAAAAAATGACATCCCAATACAAAATACAGCTATGGGCTACAAATGCACCCTGCATACAGGAAAGAAACTCTAGATGTGTAGGTATATGTATATGTGCACATGTGTGTGTGTGTACATGGCTTGAACTCAGAACCTCATGCCCTTGGGTTTTTTTGGACACAGCTGATACTCTACCATTTGAGCCATGCCACTAGCCCAACATTTTTCTGATTAATTGGAAAAGGGGTCTCTTGGACTTTTCTGCCTGGACTGGCTTTGAATCTCAATCCTTACATCTCAGCGTTCCTGAGTAGCAAGGATTGTAGGAATGAGACTGGTACCTGACTCCAAGTGGCTAAACAACAAAAACAAAAAGGCCAGCCTCACTCATAGTAAGAAAAACTCCAGGCTGGAAAGGTGGCTTAGTGGTAGAGTGCTTGCCTAGCATACATGGAGCCCTGGATTTGATTCCTCAGTACCACATACACAGAAAAAGCCAGAGGTGGTACTATGGCTCAAGTGGTAGAGTGCTAGCCTTGAACAAAAAGAAGTTTAGGGACAGTGCCTGGCCCGAGGACTGGCAGGAAAAAAAAAAAAAAGAAAAACTCCAAGTTATAATAAGATGTATGTGTGTGTGCGCTGGTCCTGGGGTTTGAACTCAAGAGCCTGGGCGCTGTTCCTGGGCTTCCTTGCTCGAGGCTAGCACTCTATCACTTGAACCACAGCTATTCTTCTGGCTTTTTTGGTAGTTAGCTGGAGATAAGAGTCTTTTCTGCCTGGACACAATCCTCAGATCTCAGCCTCCTGAGTGAGTAGGATCACAGCTATGAGCCATCCATGCCCAGCTATGAGGTCTGATATTTAAAACTACTTATGTTAGGAAAAATAACCCAAATTCTCTGCTAACACCTATCATCTTGCCAGCTGCATCTGTGTGGAATTGATAGCGCCATGTTAACTGCTTCTTTGGGTGAACGCGAGCCTTTGCCTAGCTTGGCACACACAGGCCTGGAGTCCAGGAGCGCTCACCTTCTGCATATCCCGCTGGTCCTTCCTCCAAGCCCACACTGCTAAGAACATGTAGAGCCCTAAAAGGCTGGCCAGCAGCGACACCCCCACAGGGTTGTTTGACACGTGACGGAACAGTGTGACTGTGTCTTCAACCCTCACTGTCCTGGGCACAATGAAGAAGTCGCTGCCGAAGAAGGTCAGGTGGTCACAGAGACACTGCGTCTTCACAACTGTGCTCCGCAGCCCCACCTGGAATCACACGGGAGCACCACTGTGGGTGGATGGGATGAGGGATGAGCGGAAGAGGGAGGGGCACAAAATGGAAGCAAAGGAAGGGAGGTGGCAAAGCCCGGCTTGGTACCCAGGCCCTGCAGGAGCCACACTTTGAACCCTGCCTGTCCTGTTCTACATGTCTTCTAGAGGAACTTTGCACATGTGCACAAAATATGTGCACAAGAGTGTTTCTATCAGCATTGTTTGTGAGCAGAAAAATGGGGGAAATGGTAGCTTGTAATCCTAGCTGCTCAGGAGACTGAGATTTGAGGATCACAGTTTGAAGCCAGCCCAGGAAGAAATGAGAGAGAGAGAGAAGCCAAGTGAAAGTGCAAGGCTCCAAGCTGAAACCCTGCTACTGATGTGCTCCGCACGCATGTGCACAAACACACACACACACACCAAAAAAAGGGGAAACAATCTCTCTATATAGGTACATACATAGGAGACAAATAGAATAGTATGCAACGGTCAAGATCTATCTCAGAAATTTAGATAGGGTTGAGCCTCCTGCCTCAGCCTTCTGATTAGCTGGGATTACACGCACGCGTCACCACACCCAGCTCTTCAAATACAGATTTCTGTATATGAATTGTCATTTGGTTTTATGTTTTTTTTTTCCTTTTGTCAGTTGTGAGGCTTTAACTCGGGGCCTGAGTGCTGTTCCTGAGCTTTTCCACTGAAGGCTACCCTCTACCACTTTGAGCCACAGCTCTACTTCCAACTTTTGGTGGTTAATTGGACATAAGAGTCTCATGGATTTTTCTGTCCTAGCTGGCTTTGAACCATGATTCTCAGATCTCACCCTAGGATTAGAGACATAAGCCAGCAGTGCCTGGCTTTGAATTGTTATATTTACCCAGGTCTACATTGAGAAAGAAATGACGAAACAGACACAAGTCTGCTCCTTCTCCAGAGACACATTCTCCCTCTGGCCACATAATCAACCTCCTTTCTCCCAGGCTGATCCCTGCTCCTCCTGGGCTGTCTCCAAGGAGCGACTAAGCAGCCACATGCAACAGCAGCTTACGTAGAAGGGATGTGTCCTCCTTACTTGACATCCACTGCTTTTCCAAGTCCTGTTGTTCTTGTCCCAGAAATAACACTGGGTGACCGCAGTTACCACCGAGACCAGGATGGGTGTCTGCCAGGCAGTCTCTGTCTCATTCAATATGGCGGTTATGTAGTAGGTGCCGGTCCTGTACTGCAGGCTGTCAGGAGTCAGCACCCACGTGTAGTCCTCATCTGAGGACAAGCAGGGATGCTTGGGTATGTTACAAGTGAGACAAAAATATCCCTAGTACCTTTCTTCCCAAGACAGGGCCTCACACCTAGAATTCTAGCTGTCAGAAGGCTGAGATCTAAAGATTGGATCTAAGCCAGCCCGGTCAGGTAAGTCCATTCTGATTCTGATTTTCCTCAACAATTAAAAATGAAACGAGTAGTTCTTAAAGCCTTTCAACACTATATTTAAAAATTATATCACTGGGCGTGTGTGTGTGTGTGTGTGTGTGTGTGTGATATTAGGGTTTAGACTCAAGGTCTGGTGCTGGCTAGGCAAGCACTCCACAACAGAGCAATCCTGCAGTCCTTCATGTTTTGGTTATTCTTCAGGTATTATTATTGCCTAGTGTCAGCAGGCCCCAGGTACATGGTGACGCAATCCATGCCACCTGCAAAACTGGGATTAAAGGCACACACCTACATTCTGGGGGCTCAGAGCAGCGTTTGTGTGTGTTCTTGTTCTGGAGCTTGAATTTAGGGTCTCCTGATATTATTTGGCTTTTTTCACTCCAGGCTAGTGTTCTACCACTTGAACCATACCTTCACTTCTGGCTTTTTGGTGGTTAATTGGAGATCAGAGTTTTCCAGACTTTTCTGCCCTGGCTGGCTTTGAACTAACATCTTCAGAATTCAACTTCCTGCCTAACTAGGATTACAGGCATGAGCTGCAGTGCCTGGCTCTGCATATTACATTACACAGAACTTGCTTTATCTCATTTACAACCTTCCTTTCACGCCGCAGTCCATCAATTTTCTTTTTTTGGGGGGGGTCCAGTTGTGGGGCCCGAACTCTGGGCCTGGGCACTGTCCCTCAGCTCTTCAGCTCAAGGCTAGTGCTCTACCACTTGAGCCACAGTGCCACTTCTGGCTTTTTTTCTTTTTGCTTACGTGGTGCTGAGGACTCGAACCCAGGGCCTCATGCATGCAAGGCAAGCGCTCTACCACGGAGCCACCTTCCCAGCCCCAGTCCATCAATTTTCAAAAATGCCTGGGATGGCCTGTTCATGTGAACTTACACATGTGGTAAAAGTTACATTAGAAGTCAGTTCATATAAGAACGAATGTTTGTAAGGCCCGTGAAAACTGATCAAAGTCTGAGCCTTAAATCTGAGTCATTTCCTGGTTGTGATTTTGTACCGTAGCTGGACAAACTGTTCACATTTGAGGAAATTGGGTAACAAGTACATCTATTAACATTGCATGCAAATCTACAATTATCTCCAAATAAAAGGAAGGAAAAGAAAAATGTTTTTCAAAGTAAGTTTTGGGACTGTGATCGGGTTTACCTTTCTGCCCTGTGGTGCTCTTGGGCAGGGTGGTGGTCAGGAGGAAGCAGGTGTGGTTGGGCGGGTATTGGAAGCCAAGGTAGAGAGTGAGGAAGAGAGGACTTGCAGGCTCAATGGCCACCAGCAGGGATCTCTCCACAGAGGTGACGTTCACACTGGCTGTGAAGCGGGCTGTGCTGGTGTTGAGGCTGCTGGCATGGGTGTCTATGTTGGCATTCCTCCAGAGCACAATCTAGAAAAGACACTGTTAACCCTGCAGGTGGGGATCTCAGGAGCTCCCTGCTCTCCAGGCCTTCCTCTTTGAGTATTAATTAGTAGGGAACACACTTTTGGGGGTTATGGGAGAATAAAAAAACACATCTTCTAAAACCCTTCTTCCTAAGGGTGAGGTATTTCTCTTTGTAAAAGTTTCTGCTAGGTGCTGGTAGCTCACGCCTGTAATCCGAACTACCCAAAAAGCTGAGATCTGAGGATTGTGCTTTGAAGCCAACCCAGGCAGGAAAGGCAGAAAGACTTCAATTAACCACCAAAAAAGCCAGAAGTGGAGTTGTGGCTTAGGTGGTAGAGCACGACCCTGGAACACAAAAGCTCAGAGACAGAGCCCAGGCTGATTCAAGCCCTAGGACTGGCACTCGTGTGTGCACACACACACGTACACAAATGTTTCTGTGATATTGAACAAAATGTTGGAATTTCCACAGGTTCCATCCTGTTCTCCAGGCTGTTCCATTCCCTCTCGTTTCCTGCTCGAGAAATTCCTACCTCCACGTCTTCCATCAGGTCGTGGACGTGGAGCTGTTCCTGGCCAGAACTTAACAACACGCTTCCAACGCTTCCTGTGATGTTCCTGCCATCAAACGTCTGGAAGGGATTGAAAGCCAATCCTGTAACCTGCAGACAGAGGCAAGCCCTGTTTTCTCAGTTGCCAAAATATTGATAAATGACCTGCTGAAAGATGAGGACAGGATTCAGATATAAATTAATGAGGTAGTTTCCTTACTGATATCTGAAATGAAATAATGCTCTGCCTTTGGAACATTTGTGAAAAACAATAGAAGATGAGTCTTCTACATGGGACCACCAGAAACAATTTGTAAAAAGATCTAGAGCGTTGGGCTTCGGGGGCATGCCTGTAATGCTGGCTACTCAAGAGGCTGAGATCTGAGGCTGAGCTCTGAGGATCAAGGTGCAAAGTCATCCTGGGCAGTAATGTCCATGAGACTTTTCTTTTAAGTTGGTTATGGAGCTTTAACTTAGGCCCTGGGCACTGTCCCTGAGCTTTTCTGCTAAAGGGTAGCACTGTACTATTTTGAGCCATAGCTCCACTTCTGTTTGTTCGTTGCTTAATTGGAGAGAAGAGTTTCATGGGGGCTTTCCTGCCTGGGCTGACTTATAAACTGTGATCCTCAGATCTCAGCTTCCTGAGTAGCTAGGATTACAGGAATGAGCCACTAGTTCCTCACCCATGAGACTCTTATCTCCACTAACCCCCCCCCAAAAAAAGCCAGGAGTGGAGTTGTGGCTCTTATCTCCACTAATGCCCCCCAAAAAAGCCAGGAGTGGAGTTGTGGCTCAGGTGGTAGAGTGCTAGCCTTGAGCAAATGAAGCTCTGGGACAGCACCCAGGCCCTGAGTGCAAGACCCAGGACCAGCACAATAAATAAAGATCTAGAAGTTTCTGTATTATTATGAAGCATTCTCTTCAGGATAAAGCAGCAGCAGTATTTGTGGTAGGTAAGTGCTACAAAGCAATACAATGTACAACTAGGTTGTTACACTGAGACACCTGAAGTATTCACATATTCACAACATCCTATAAAGAACTGAGATTGCTTCATATCACGGCATGGAAACGTAGCTGGATTCAGATGTCTGTTTGCTTTTAACACTAGATCCTCATTTTTAAACTTTATTTTTGTTTTTGAGGTTCAGAAGGTTGAATCCAGGGCCCCATGTTTACTAGACAGTGCCCTACCACATGTCCATAGTCTTATTATTCAACGTCTTTCTTTTCTTTTTTGTCCATTGTGGAGCCTGAATTCTGGGCCTGGGTGCTGTCCCTCAGCTCGTTAGCTCAAGGCTAGTGCTCTATCACTTGAGCCACAGCGCTGGTTCCAGCTTTTTCTGCTTATGTGGTGCTGAGGAATCGAACCCAGAGGCTCATGCATGCAAGGCAAGCGCTCTACCACTGAGCCACCTTCCCAGCCACTCAAAGTTTGTTTTTAAGATAAGGTCTTATAACTGCTTAGGTTGGCCATCACTCATGATCCTGTCTCTGCCACCTGAGTAGCTGGGATTACAGGTAAGCACAACCACACCCAACTTATACTGGATCTTTTTTTTTTTTTGCCAGTCCTCGGGCTTGAACTTGGGGTCTGGGCACTGTCCCTGAGCTTCTTTTGGTCAGTGCTACTTCCAGCTTATTCTGATTATGTGGTACTGAGGAATCAAACCCAGGGCTTCATGCACGCTAGGCAAGCACTCTACCACTGAGCCACCTTCCCAGCCCTTCTTTTGGTTTCTAAGATTCTTGCTATGAAGTGCAAAGTGGCCTGAAACTCCTGATCCTCTTGCCAAAGCCTGAGTGCTGGGATTACAGGCATGAACCACCATGCCTGGTGTTTATGCTGGGTCTTTTAAAGAGGATTCTGTCTGACAGTGTGAAATGGAAATTAGAAGCATACTCTTCGCTCCGGCAGTGTGGTCTGCCAGCTCACATTTCCCCCTGTGCCCCACCCAGCAGTCAGACCCTGTCTTCACTCACCTGCACCTTCACTCTTGGATACTTATTCAAGAATGCCTCCAAGGCTGAAGACGATGGCAAACCTAAGCTCACGGGCGCTGGACCGCCCAGCGTGTAAGAGCTCAGTGGCAACGTCGATATGTTTTGACTAATGAAAAAAAAGAAAAAGAAAAAGTCAATTTTTTTGTGTGTGGGTCATGGAGCCTGAACTCTGGGCTTGGGCGCTGTCCCTGAGCTCTTCAGCGCAAGGCTAGCGCTCTACCACTGGAGCCACTGTGCCACTTCTGGTTTTCTAAGTGGTTTATTGGAGATAAGAGTCTCATGGACTTGGGGCTGGGAAGGTGGCTCAGTGGTAGAGCGCTTGCCTTGCATCCATGAGGCCCTGGGTTCGATTCCTCAGCACCACATAAGCAAAAAAAGCTGGAAGTGGTGCTGTGGCTCAAGTGGTAGAGCACTAGCCTTGAGCTGAAGAGCTGAGGGACAGTGCCCAGACCCAGAGTTCAGGCACCATGACTGGCAAAAAAAAAAAAGCGTCTCATGGACTTTCCTGCCCAGATTGGCTTTGAACCACGATCCTCAGATCTCAGCCTCCTAAATGGCTAGGATTACAGGCGTGAGCTGCTGGTGCCTAGCTGAAAAATCAATTTTTATATGTCAAAAAGGTAAAAAATGGGATTGGAGGCATGGCTCAGTTGGTAGACCACCAGCCAATGAACAAAAGCATCGGGAACCAAGTTCCAGACCTAATTTCAACAGATAAAAGAAAAAAAAAGAACGAAAAAGTAAAAACAAAACAAAACAAAAAACCCCAAACACCCCACATCGTCATTGGTCCCCTCCGCGCACCTGCTCAGCAGCACAGACGCGGCGGCGGAGGTGAGTGTCACCGAGGACTGGCAGCCTGGGTTCTGCTGCAGGAACGCATCCTGGATTGTGCCCAGGGCCAGCAAGGCCATCTCCAGCATGTCTTCCACCTGTGCAGAGGGGAGGCAGGAGGTCTGGGCTTGTGCTGGGGAGGGAAGGGGGAGCGGGAGCAGGGACATTCACTGCATATAAGGAAGGCCTATTGCTGGAGCCGGCCTCGGTCCTCACAGCAAGCTCTCAGCTGCGGGAGGCCCAGCCTCCTCTGGGTCTGCCAAGAGCTGCTGCCAAGGAAAGCCAGGGTCTAAGTTGCCTTGGACCTGCTCATGAATAGGCCAGGCGCTAGAATCTTACTTCCTATAAATTACTCAGAAAAAGTCGGAAGGGGAGCTGTGGCTCAAGTGGTAGAGCACTAGCCTTGAGCACAAAGAGGCTCAAGGACAGTGCCCAAACCCTGAGATCAAGCCCCAAGACTGGCCAAAAACAAATACTTAAATCATCATTGCTGGTCCTTGTAGCTCACACTTAGAATCCTAGCTACTCAGGAGGTTGAGACCTGAGGATCACAATTCAAAGCCAGCCTGAGCAGGAAAGTCCTTGAGACTCTTATCTCCAATTAATCACCAGAAAATGGGAGGCAGAGCTGTGGCTCAAAGAGCTGGAATGCTAGCCTTCAGTAGGAGCCGCACGGCTGATAATTGATTCATAAAAAGTAAAGCATTATTACAACAAAATTCCCATACAATTCATTTCTCTCTCTCTCATTCAGTGATTTTAGAATATGTCACAGGGGTACCTGACTATCACCACAATCTAGTGTTTGAATTCACCTCCTAAAATACCCCTGGGTACCCACTAGTAGTCACCTCTCTCCCTCCGGACCCATTTCTAGGGAACCACTGGTCTACAGAGCACTGTGTCTGTACTCTGCACAGGGCACAGTCTCTAGATTGAACCCGTTTTCTCTTTGTCCTGCCTTGTTTCTGCTTTGCTCCAGAAACCTGGAGCAAAGTCTTGCATTTCATACAAATGAATCACAATTTCTTTTGTGACCATCTGGCTAGCTTCACTTGCCAGGCTGCTTTCAAGCATGTTCACCCATGCTCTAGCTTGTATGTTCAATTCACTCTTTTTTGTGTGGCTAAATAGTATTCTATTGTATGAATACAGCACAGTTTGTTTATCCATCGCCCAGGTCATGGGCAGCTGAGCTGCTTCAACTTTTGGCTCTTTCACTATTTGCAGAATGTGCTATGAGCCTGGGTGTATACTTATGTGTAGGGAGCCGACAGTAAAGTTTAAAGGTCATCTTGACCCCAGTGCTCACTTGAAGGCACGTAAAAGGAACTGGCTTACTTAAAAAACACCAGGTGCCCGGGATTGCTTTGCTATGTCTGCAGAGTTTGTTTTACTTTCTACCAGTTGACTTGTCCTGTTTTTACTGCACTCTGTCTTTACTGAAATTTTCCTTGTTTTTCTGCACTATTGTAACCTTATGTTACCTCTTGACTTCTAATAGTATATATTAGGGAAAGTTAAAAATAAACGGGGCTGCAGTCTTGAGCCGCAGACCTCCCGACCCCATCCTTTGTCTTATGTCTTTATTTTTCCGCATCCTCGCCCCCTAATTCAGGATTCCCTTTCCTTGCCAGCAGACTCTGGCACTTCTGGATATGGACATGTGCTTTCAATTCTTGCATGTTTGTGCCAAGGAGCAGCATTGGTAGACTATATGGTGATTATAGTTTTAACCTTTTTTTTTTTTTTGTCGGTTGTGAGGCTTGAACTCTGAGCCTGAGTGCTGTCCCTCAGCTCTTCAGCTCAAGGCTAGTGCTCTACCACTTGAGCCACAGCGCCACTTCCAGCTTTTTCTGCTTATGTGGTGCCAGGGCCTCATGCATGCAAGGCAAGCACTCTACGACTGAGCCACCTTTCCAGCCCTAGTTTTAATCTTTTGAAGAACTGCCAAATTGTTTTTCCAAAGTGGCCACGTTTTACAATCCTCTAATATATGGTGACAATTTCTCTGTAGCTCATCAATACTTGCCCATCTTTTGGGGCATGAAATAGTATTTTTCTCTTTACTTTTTCTTGTTCTTTTTGAGATAAGGTCTTATATATATAAATATATATATTATTTTCCTTATAAATATCAATGATGAACATCTCTCTTTCTCTTTGTGTATGTGTGGGTAAGGTAGGGTCTCACTATGTACTTAGGACTTAGCATAGGACTTAACATAGCTCGAGGATAGCTTGGAACTTGATGTCAGAATCTTCCTACCCTTGTCTTCTAAGTGCTTGGATTAAAGGTGTGTACCACAATGCCAAGACATGATGAACATCTTTTATGTGGATAGCAAATATTATGTGCCAGTGCTAGTGTTTTTTTTATTACTAACTGGGCACTCAGTAGCGTGTGCCCGTGAGTAGGGTAGAGAGGGAGACCAGAGACAACTTGGCAAAGTCATTTCTTTCCAGTCAGTCCTTGTGGTGTGAGCTCCAGCTGTATTTCCTGGATAGGCTGGAGCAGAGGCCAGGTAATAACCAACTCTATTTGTGAATGCCTGTACGTACCACCCATACCTGGTTGGTGTCCTGCTTGGGTGTCTGCAGCTTTTCCACTTCACCATTCATCACACTGGGGGGTGGAAAGTGGCAGAGAGTTGCAGGGGTTTCGGAACCCCGAGTGCCTCTGTTCTGAGAGGGGATCCGCAGGATCTGCTCAGTCAGGTCAATGAGCAGGTTGACCACAGGGACCTGGATGTCAGAGAAGAGACATTCATGCCGGACTACTGCCAAGTGGCTTAAACATGTTTGTGCTCTTCTTATAAGCAGTCTGGTATTGCTCACACAGTTCAAATGCATTTTTATAAAAGGCAGTATTATCATTTGGCAGGTAAGGAAATTACAGGGTTCCATATTATCTGTGTGGGGAATATGGTACCATCAATGGTATTTTCTGGGATGCTAGCAAGCCAATGTGTCTGGGTGGTAAGTAGTCCACTGGACGTCTAATCGGCAAAACTAAGGTAGAGGAAGGCATCCGTGACAGCAGTGGAGCTCACGTGCTGAGGACATGCTTTGTGGTATCATGGCCTTGGCAATAACTCTAAGATGGCACCTACTCATTGCTTTACTCAGTCTTCATCCTTGCAAACCCTTAATTTCTGTCTCCAGCAAATGGTTCGATGATGCTAAATTCTGCACAGGGTGCAACTCCAGATTCTGATTTCCATTTTCCCCTTTGTCCTGCCATGTCCCCACCCAGTCGTCCGTCCTCCGCTCACCTGGGCTGGCGACTGAAAGCTTGGAGCTAGGTCTCGCAGGTTCTGGAGGGTCTCACAGGCTTTCTTTAGCTCTCTCCGAGTCGGGCTCAGGTGCTTTGCTAGCTCACTGCTAACCTATTGGAAAGAAAGAATTTTGTTAAAACTGACAATGACTTCCTGTTCGTGGTTGGATACATCATCTTCACTCGGCTCTCCTGGACCACACGTCTTAGACCATTAGTCCCCCATTCAATGGGCTCAGGGTGGGGGCGGGGCCAGCAGAGTGTGAACTTGGACTTGAAGATCACCAATCGTCTCCAAAGAAGTTTTGCACATTTTTGGTTAGATTTAATTCCTAGGCACTTGCTATAAGAGCTAATGTGTATGCACACACATGCACGTGTGCACACGTGCGCACATGTGCACACACGCGTGCATGCACACACATGCACACACATACTTTGAGACAGGAACTCACTATGTATCCTGATTAGCCTCAAATTCACAATCTTCCTGCTTCAGCCTCCTGAGTGCTAGAATTACAGGCGTGTGCCCCTATACTCATACCTGGGTGGTATCTCTTTTTGCATCTTATTTTCTTAACTCATTGTTGCTAGCAGTAAAAATGCACTTTACCCTAGTACATGGATCTGGCCTTGAGTGACAAGACATTCTAGATTTATAGATACCTTTGGATATTCAAACCCACTTCATGTATAAATCACTAGATAAAAACTTCTTTTTGGAAGTAGGAAATAAAGAGTACTTTCTTCAGTTGCTTTGCTTTTTCCGCCTGGGTTTGCTGGGGAGGGGCGAGGGGAGACCTGACTGTAGGTGCTGACAAGGTGGACAGGTGGGCAGAACACTGTGTCCTTCAAGGACTGCGTACCAACAACTAAGAACAAGCTGTACAGCACAGAAACAGATTCGTCTTGTTCTGGCTTCTGCTGAGACTGCAAGAATCTGTCCTGCACTGGTATGGGAAGGTGGACAGGCCTTTTCTCACTCTAACTCTTGAAACATCACAACCACAGGAAGGAAGGCTGCAAGTGGTTCTCCAGGGTCTGTGTGCACAAGCATTGGCATTTGAACTCAGGACCTTGGGCTCTTGCTTGGCTGTTTTGCTCAAGGCTGACACTATCACTTGAGCCACATCTCACAGATTTGTTGGTCTAGGCTGGATTTGAACCAAGATTCTCAGATCTCAGTCTCCTCAGTAACTAGGACTACAGGTGTGAGCCACAGCCCCTGACTAGAAGCTGCACAGTTGGGCCACAGTGTTGCATATGTACCTGATTGGATGTGTTGTGAGGTGACCCCTGTGGGGGAGCCGTGCTGACACCCTGCTGGGAGTCCCCGCCTGGGCTCGTAGCCATGTCTGCCTGAGGGGCTGTGGCAGGTGTCGTGGCGGCCGGCCTGGGGAGCTCTGTCTCTGTAGACCACGGCGGGCTGCTGGGTGCAGACATAGTAGATGGTGCCTTCGGTGTGGTTTTTAGAACCACAGCAGGAAACGGGTTGCCCGGATGACATAAGGTCTTGGACTAAAAGATAAGAACGTATGAAAGAAAAGCCTGATGCTGCTTGTTACCAACTCACGAGTCATTAAGGCAGATTCCCACACTTTCCTCAACTCTCAGGCCCTAGGAGTTTTGTTTTGTCTCACTACATAGCCCAACCTCAAATCAAGATCCTTCTGGGTGCTGGATTGCAGGAGTGCTACACTGCTCTCAGCTCCTAGGAGACATTGACAAGTACTTCTGTCTAAAATGCCCTGTGGCTGGGCACCAGAGGCTCACGCCTATAATCCTAGCAATTCAGGAGGCAGAGATCTGAGGATCATGGTTCCAAGCTAGCCCAGCCAGGAAAGTCCATGAGACTCTTATCCTCCGTTAGCCACTAATTAACTGGAAGTGAAGCAAAGGGCTCAGGGGCAGTGCTCAGGCCTAGAGTTCAAGCCCCAGGACCAGCAAAAACAATAAACAAACAAACCAACCCAGAAAGCCATGTACTATGAAGGCCACAGTGTACATTGTGGACATCAAATATATTGTCAACCACTCAATAACTGTTGAACATCTACCATGTGCAAGGCTATGTTACGGAGAAGCAGAGGTAGAGCAGTGAAGGAGTGAGCCGTGCTGTGTGCCCGCGGCCTCCACTGGAGTGAGACACACAGACTGACGTGTGTGTGATGACAAAGTGCTGGGACGGAGATTGCGTGTGTGGGCGTGTGTGGATGGAGGGCTGCGTGTGTGGGTGTGTGTGGATGTGAGACTGTGTGTGTGGGCGTGTGTGGATGTGAGACTGCGTGTGTGGGCGTGTGTGGATGTGAGACTGCGTGTGTGGGCGTGTGTGGATGGGAGACTGCGTGTGTGGGCGTGTGTGGATGGGAGACTGCGTGTGTGGGCGTGTGTGGGCGTGTGCACAGTGCTGCGGCAGGCAGCTCTGGGAGGGCTGAGGAGCTGTGGAGAGCATGCTCGCCGTCTCTGCAGCCATCTGCGGCAGGCCAAGGGCTGGCTATGAGAGAGGCTTGGTCTGTTTACTACCTTTGTTCTCTTTTCACTTTGATTCTTTTCTGTCCTTATTTGTGTATGCCAGTCCTGGGGCTTGAACTCAGGGCCTGGGTGCTGTCTTTGAGCTTTTTTACCCAAGGCTGATGCTCTACTAAACAGAGTTTCCAGTTTTCTGGTGGTTAATCGGAGATAAGAGTCTCATGGACTTTCCTGCCTGGGCTGGCTTTAAACCACAATACTCAGATCTCAGCCTCCTGAGTAGCTAGGATTACGGTTTGAACCACTGTACCCAGCCTATTTTTTTTTTTGGTCGGTCATGGGGCCTGAACTCTGGGCCTGAGCTCTTCAGCTCAAGGCTAGCACTCTACCACTTGAGCCACAGTGCCACTTCCGGCTTTTTTCTATTTATGTGGTGCTGAGGAATTGAAGCCAAGGCCTCATGCATGCAAGGCATGCACTCTACCACTGAGACACCTTCCCAGCGCCCCCTCTCACCCCCACCTTATTTTTGTATATATTTTTGAAAGAGGTCACAAGTCCTCTTTGGGATGTCTTAGAATAAAGACAACCAACAAATAGAAATTATGTCAACATGAAAGCCTAAATACAGACTTTACAAGTTTCTTTAATAAAACATTAAGCCCAATTATTTCCTCATTTAAGTACTTTCCTTATTAGAAAACACCTTTCTGCCAGGTACCAGAGACTCATGCCTGTAATCCTAGCTACTCAGGAGGCTGAGATCTGGAGGATCTCAGTTCTATACCAGCCCCCAAAGAAAAATCCTTGAGAGTCCATCTCCAATTAACCAGCAGAAAGCAGGGCTGGAGGTATGGCTCAAGAAGTGGTTGAACACCAACCATGAGCAAAAATGCTGAGCTAGAACATGAGGCCCCAAGTTCAAGTCCTGGTACCAGCACAGAAAAAAAGAAGAAAAAGAAAACTTTATGCAGAGCACTTTATGAGACAGAGTTGAATGCTGTCAGGATCTACCAGGCATGAAGAAGAGATGAATATTCCACTTATGACTTGTGTAGGAGGGTGTACATACAAGATTAGCAGAAGCAGGCTGGTGACATGAGGTGGAGAGATGATCTCCTAGAGAAACAAGAAAGTAGGTTAAACTTTTTATGAATAAATTGAGATCATTCAGAAGATAATCACTTACAAAATTTTACCAGATTGTCAATACTGCTTTATTGCTCATTTCATATTTTCCATTAAGAAAACCATGACCAGCAAGTGCTCTGCGCTGGCAGGCCTGTTAGGAGTGCTGGTGGAAGTAAATTAGTGCAACCACCATGGGATGCAGTGTGGAGGCTCCTCAAAGAACTAAATGTAGAACATCTTTAGGATCCAGCTACGCTACTTTTAGGCATCTGCCTGAAAGACTGCAAGTTAAGATACAATAAAGCCATCTACACACCCATGATCATTCCTGCACCATTTACCACCCAAGTTACGGAATCAGCCCAGATGTAACTTATTTTCTCATGACACGTTTATAATAACATTATATGAAGCACGGCTTTTGTGAAATGGACACAGCTGAGCTCAGACTTTCATATATATCTCCAATATCATTGCTTCAGTTATAATCAGAACTGATAGCCCTTGATTCTGGGGCCTGTGTCTGTGGATTTAACCAACTTAAGACTGGGGCTGGGAGCTGGGAAGGTGGCTCAGCGGTAGAGTGCTTGCCTTGCATGCATGAGGCCCTGGGTTCGATTCCTCAGCACCACATAAGCAAAAAGAAAAAAGCCGGAAGTGGCCCTGTGGCTCAAGTGGTACAGCGCTAGCCTTAAGCTGAAGAGCTGAGGGACAGCG